AATAGAGGCTATTATATTACTATACAACCTAATACTCGTCTTGTATACCCTTACTTCTAACGATATCCTAATAGTAGAAGGTCTAGCTTAGAAGGAGGTTATAGTTTAACCGGAAGTGCTTTTTAACGTAGATTATAGCACTCGAAGCCTTAAGGATAGTAGGCAGGTCTATATAGATAGTTAGCCTTCTAGTAAGGGCACTACTACGTACGGTACTAGCTCTTTACGTACTTGTAGTAGTCTATAATAGTCGTTCTTAGCTAAGTAAGCGATATACTAGGCTCGAGAGTAAAGTTAGTTATTGTCGCTATATTTAGCTTCCGCTTCTTCGTAGTAATAGTATTTAAGTCGTCTAATTCTCTATAAGCAGGGTATATTAGTAGGTAGATAGGGTAGTAGTAGGTATAGGTAGTATTCGATAGAGATCTAAAAGGAGAGAGAGGAAGGTAGGCTAGTTAGCCTAACGCTAAGCGCTAAGCCCTGCCTAAGGCATTAAGACCCTAGCTTTACTCGAGCCTAGTTATATACTAATTACGTATAACCTCTTTAGTCCTAATATACGCTTCCCTTCTAAAGGCCGCGCCCTCGTAGCTAGTCTATGTTCTATTCTTAACCTCTGTCGCTGCTAACTTAGTAGGTCTAGCAAGCTTCTTAGTCCGCGCTAAATTAAACACGCAATCGCCGACTATATAACTATATCAAACCTTACCTCTAATATAATACAATGTCTAACTCTAACTACGCTATCCTTGTATATAATAAAGTAATATATAACTACGAGAATTGAGGGCCTTCGACTAATTACAATACAAGCGCGTCTTCCCTACTATAATAGGTAGACGTACGAGGTATTATAGCCCTACCTCCGTTCTAAGTAATGTCGTATCGAGTTCTTTGCGTCTACTCTTAAAAGACCTAGTAATGTCCGCTTCCGAGGGTTGTCCGCTTCTAAGGGTTTATTCTTATTATTACGAGGGCTATTATTTACTATCGTAGTTTCGCTAGCCCTAATTAGTTAGGTTTAGTAGCCTTTAAGTGTTAACTAATTATATCTTTTCAAAAAACTCAGTTCTTCTAGTTTCTATAGGTAAAGGCTATTATAAGTATAGTAGTAGAGGTTCGCCTCGCTTAAAGGGTCGGAAAGATCGAGAAGTAACCTATTATCCGCAAGATCGACCCTAGCTAGCTTAGCTCTATAGTTTTTGCCCTTAGTTAGTTAGTCTATTAGTCTACTTAATCTTTTAAGCGGCTCAAAGTTTTGACTTAGCCTTAAAGTTTTAATTAAAGTTTTAATTAAAGGTGCCTTAGGCTCGTAGTATAGGTAAGGTTGTCTTCGCAGATACGATAGTAGGTAATATTAATAATAGCGGCGCTAGTCGTCTTAGCGCTAACTTTACCCTCTTCTAACTTCCTTCTTTAACTAATAACAACTCGGCAATACCGTTACTAATATAGCTATATCCTTCCTTTCTTAATAGCAACACACTCCGCAATACTGTTACTAATATAGCCGCGCTAGCCGCGCTGTCCTCGCCGATTGCCTAGGCCTCGAGGCCTCGATAGAATAAGGGAACAAGAGAGGGACCTATAGGGCGCGTTAGTAAAGAGGTAGAGTCCTTAGAAGAGTATACGATTAATTAATTAACGCGTCGTAGCGCGCCTAGTGTAGTCTTATTATCCTTTGTTACGAACAATTGCTTACCTCTAATTAGTTAGCTAATAGTACCCCGGGGGTAGCATTGTTCCTAGGCCTTAATAGTAACATTATAAGCTTTTAGCCTTCTTCTTGTTCTTTACGCTAGTCTAATACTTATCTAACAACTTAGCTATATCCTTAAAGGAATCTTTAGCCTCCTATAAGTCCTATTCTAGTAAATAGCCCTACTATCTTAGCAGATACTCCTTCTTGCCTTGCCTAGTCCGGTGCTTTAGAATACGTTCTATAGACTACAGTTCTTCGCTATTAGCTAGTATATCCTCGGATTTAGTAGGTACTTTATCCCCTTCGCGTAGGTAGTATAGTTTAAGGAGGGATACGTAGAAGGTATTATAGATAGTGTAATAAGGTAGAAGCTACAACTAATAGGCCTATACGGAGGAGCCCTTAACTTCTCGAATGCGGAATAGGCTAATGTATCTTAATGCGAGCTTAGGCCTTGTTTTGCTATTAAGTAATAGGTGTTTACGGATGCGGAGGTTCTTAGTGCTTAGTATAACTATATCGCCTTGTTTAAAGGTTATTAGCGTATAGTGCTTGTCGTAGTAGGTCTTTTAGTACTCTTAAGCCTTTGTTAACTTCTCGGCTATCTTAGTATAGATTTCTCGCATCTTCTAAACCCTCTTAATAGCCGCTAGTATTTCGGGTACTTAACGCGCTTCCCTTTCCTTACGCTCGGCCTCGAGCGATAGTAGGTCTTATAGTATAGCAGCATTCTAGCCTATTATAGCTATATATAGTAATACCTTAGTCGATAAGTAGACACTGTTATTATATACGAATTTAGCTAGTTATAGGAGGTTGACCTAGTCGTTAGAGTTCTCGTTAATATAACTACGCAGGTACTGCTATAGGGTAGCATTCTGCCTCTCTATTTAACCGTTAGTCTATAGATAGAAGGCTATTAATAGCCGATGCTTTAGTCTTAGCTGTAAGCAAATCTCGCTCTAATAGTAAGATGTTAGTATCGATCTACGATCGGATACGATCCCCTTAGGGGTTCCTTAATAGGTATAGAAGATGTTAGTCTATAGCGCCTCTACTATGTTAATAGCAGTCTAATCCTTGCGCGCCGGGATATATCGAGCGCCTTTAGTAAATCGATCTACTATAATAAGGATAGCATTATATATGTCCTTACTACCCCTACGCTTAGTAGGAGGAAGGCCTATAATAAAGTCTATTATAAGCTTAGCAAACGGCTTCCTAGGAATAGGAAGTAAAGATAACTCGCTAAATAGTAAGTGCTTTAGTGCTTTAACTCGCTAGTATACTATACAGGTCTATATATACTCCTTTATATACCGCTTACTATTTAGCTAGTAGTATATACGCGATAGTAACTCGTACGACCTCTCTATACTATAGTAACTAGCGAGCTTACTATTATAGTGCCTCTTTAAAAGCTCTTATCTGATCGATTGTTTAGCGGGGATATAATATCTGCCCTTAAACTTTAAGTAACCTTTGTCGTCGATCGACTAACTATTACTCTTACTAGCTTAAGTCGCCCGCCTACTTATAAGCTTATTAATGCGCTCGACAGCAAAGGCGTCCCTCTGCTAAGCACGTAATAGCTTATCTATAAACGATTAACTATCCCTATTTATAAGGTTATTTAATAGCACCCTCGCTATCGAACGAGGTACGTATTATATATATCTAATAGTACTAGTAGCCGGAACTACTACAACCTCTTCTATAGTGCTATTGCTATATAGGCTATTACTATAGATAGCAATGTCTTTAATCGAGTTATTATAGCTCGAGCGATCTACGTCCTTTCTAACGCGCACTAGAAGAACGACAACTCCGCTATAGTATTTGTTGCCGCCGTAGGGTCCGGAAGTCCGCTTATCCTACGCTTACTTATTAATAATACGGGCTATAGCAATCTTATACTACAGGGTTGGAAACAAAGAATTAATATATTAGGTCTCGCTATCGTAATTAGGTCGCCTCGATAGGCTATTAGTAGGGTTGCTTACGCCTAGCTAATATAATATATTAAAATCAAACCCGGCGAGGTAGACGGCCTATCTAGCCTATTAACCTATAACCCTAGTAACCTTAGTAATACTACGGAGGTTGTTATAGTCTGTATAGACCTAAATAGTGTGCTATACACTATCGAGATAGTGCCTCTAATGCTTAAAGGCCTCGATAATAGCTAGGAGCTCTTACTCGTAGGTCTCGTAGCGACGCTCTATATCGATTATCTTTCGTAAAAAGAAGGCAATTAGGTGCTAGTAATAGTCCTTATCTAATTGCTATAACATAATAGCCGATATAGCGAACTATAAAGCGTTAGTCTTAATACGGATCTGCTTGCTTAGTACAAAATAGTGCAACAAGGGGACTTTAGTAAATCGCTTCTTTAGACCGTTAAAAGCGGCTTGTGTCTTATTAGTCTATTTGAATTCTCTAGACAGGTTGGCCTTGGTTTTAGTAAGCTTAGTTAGGGGCATTACATACCGTAAATAGCCCTTAATAAAGCGGCGGTAGAAATTAGCGAAGCCGAGGAACGATTAAAGCTCCTTAATAGACGTAGGAATAGGCTATTTAGTAATTGTTTTAATCCGATTAGGATTAGCCTTAACACTATTAGTTAATACGATAAAACTAAGGAAGGCTACCTCCTTAGTAGCGAAGGTGCATTTAGAAGGCTTGTAATATAGTCTATAGGCTCGTAGGCAATCGAGTACCTTACGGACTATAGCCTAGTACTCCGCAATATTAGGTAAGTATATATAAACTAGGATATCATCTAGGTAAACTATATAAAGGTAGTCTAATAGGCCCGAAAGGGCCCGATTGATATAGGACTAGAATGTTATAGGGGCATTAGCTAAGCCGAATAGCATAACTAAGTACTCGAAATAGCTATAGCGAGTGCGGAAGGCTGTCTTCTATTCGTCGCCCTTACGAATACAGATACGATAGTACGCATCCTTAATGTCTAGTATAGTATAGAAGTAGGCCTTAGAAAGGCGATCGAGGGTCTTATTAATAAGCGGAAGTAGATAGCGGTCTTTAATAGTAACAGCATTAAGTCTACGGTAATTAACGCATAACCGTAGGCTACTATCCTTCTTTAGAACAAACAGGATTAGTGCACTAGCAGGGCTGTTACTATATCGAATGCGGCTATTAGCTAGGTTTTCCTCTAGGTACTTACGCAATATAGCAAGCTCTCGCTTACTAAGGTTGTAGAGGGGGCTAAAAGGAACCTCTTTGCCCTCTATAATATTAATCTTATAGTCCGTCTCTTTAAATATAGGCAATGTCGATACCAAGTAGTGTTTAAATACATTAATATAGGTTTCTCGAATAGGCACTAGTATACGGGAGAGCTAATTAGGGTCTATACTATTAGGGGGTACAGGTTTATCGTTATCTCTACCGAGAAGATTAGCTATTAGGTTAGCTAAGGCAGGTGTTAGGTTACTAATAAATAGGACCCTAATATTATTAGGACACTCGCTAATGTCGATGTGTTTAATGTCCTCTTTTCTAGCGATTCCAAATCGCTATTATTAACTGCCTAAGTCTATAACTATAGCATAGTACTTAAGAATAGGGTTGCTAATAACAATGTCGGATAGGAGGCTGTCTATGTCTACTACGTAGGCAGTAAAGTTTAGTAGGCGTTCATTTCCGAGGTCGTCTTTTAGAACTATAGGAATATAGTAGGCCCTATAGGTTAAGTGCCGAGTGTTATTAAACTAAGCAAGGGTTAGTAGGTTAGTCCTAGGCAATTGCCGAAGGTCTAATTGCTTAGCTAAGCGATAGCTAATAAGGGCGCTAACTGAATTTCCGGAGTCTAGTATAACCTTTGCCTTATAGTTAGTATCGCGCCTAGATATAAGACAGGTACGTATAATAGCTAGTACAATATCGATAGTCTTACGCCGTATAAGGCTAACAGTTAGTACGGCGCTTATTCTTTTTTCGAAGGTTAGCCTATAGGGGTAGCGTTAGCCGCTAAGAGGTGCTTTCGGTATTTAGCGGAAGTACGGTTAATTCGGGCCTAGTCCTTAGGTTTGTCGTATTAGCCTAGTAGATAGCTAGTACTGTTACAATTAAAGCACTTCAATCCGGTTAGTAGACTGCCGTAGCTATTATTGTTAGTTAAGTAGTTAGCGTTATAAGGATACGAGCCCCTTCTACGGCCCCTATCGCGGCCTCCTCTATATAGTCGCCGGCTACGGCCCCTTCTACGGTCGTTGTTACTATTCCTACTATTAGTATTGTTGTCTTAGTAGGAACCTTAGTTTCCTCCGCGGCTACTACGATTGCCGCGGTTAGTACTAGCTAGCCGGATCCTCGATTCTAGTCGTTATTAAAGCTAGACAGCTCGTTTAGCTGTTTCTACCTCGACTATGAATTAAATACGTATTAGGTTAGCCTATTTAAACACACGGCGACAGTCTAATTCGAGGATAAGCTCCTATCTAAGTTTTAGGCGTATCTCGGAGATCTATATAGAATTAGTCTTAGGCAGAAGGTCGTCTTTAAGGGTTTTTAAATAGGCCTCGAATAAGCGAGCCGATTAATTAGTCTTCTGTTTAGCTCGAAGATATAGGTCCTAAGCATATTGTTGCCTTAGTATAGGGTTTCTAAGGGTATCTAGTATAATAGTTTTGTAGCTCTGCTACTAAATAGTAGTCTAGTCGTCGAGGGAGTCGAAATAGTTATCCTATATACGCTTTAGGTCGCTATTAATGTACTATATAGCGTGTACGACTAAGGAATAGTCGTCTAGTAGCGCTCTTAGTGCGTTGCGCTAGTTAAGTTTATAGTTACGAATATAGTCGTTATACTACTTCCGACTAGAGCTATTAAATATAGTATAGTCCTTAAGTTTAGTATCCTTCTTTTAGATAGGTAGTAAAGAAGGTCCTACTATTAGCTTAGTAGTAGTTGTTAGAGATTCCTAGAGGCGGCGAATCTCGAGAAGATTATCCTTTAGCTATTGTTCTTAACGCAAGGCAGTAAGCCTGTTTTAAGTAGCTCCTTAGAGTCTCGCTACTAGTTAGGGACTAAAGGCTAGTTAGCTATATCGACGGTTAACAATATTGTTAAGAATGTCGTCGATAGATAATTCTAGGTCGTTACCTAGAATTACAGGTTCTTTAGTAGGCTCTCCGGTAGGCTCTTTAGTAGGAGGCACTTTAGCAGGTGCTTTAGTAGGCACTTTAGTAGGCACTGTGCTACTAGTGTTGTTATTGCTAGCGCTGCTAGCGGTAGCACGGTTGTTGTTTCGTAATAAACCGGCTATTATAATAGGGGGTAACACTAATAATATATTATTAGCCCCTAAGATACGGATATAGCGGAATTAGTAGATATTAGTCTAGTACGATTAACTTAGTATAATAGGCCGTATAGAAGGCCTTGCTTAATAATTGGTACGGTTGCTTCGATAGAATAGTACGTATAGGTCCCGTTCTTCGGGCGTAATATAGTTAGATTAGTCTTGTTCGTAGCTATACCGCTAAAAGCTTAAAATAAGGACTATCTAGCTACTACCCTTAAAGGGTAGATCGAATACTATATAAGCAGGGTATATTAGCAGGTAGATAGGGTAGTAGTAGGTATAGGTAGTATTCGATAGAGATCTAAGAGAAGAGGGAGGAAGGTAGGCTAGTTAGCCTAACGCTAAGCGCTAAGCCCTACCTAAGGCATTAAGACCCTAGCTTTACTCGAGCCTAGTTATATACTAATTACGTATAACCTCTTTAGTTCTAACATTCTCGAGCAGTAAGTATACGCTTTGTTATATAGACAGTCGCTCTACTAGTAAGAGGTTTATAGTTACTAAAGATAACCTTCGGCTCGCGTAAACGAGGCTCTTACTTCTTTATAAAGTCGATAAGCTAGTAGTCGTAGAAGTAGCGTAGCAATAGTACTACTCGCGAGCTACCTGTCTTAATTAGCTTTATAATCTCGTATTTATACGAATAACCGAAGGTTTTAGTAAGGTAATCGTTATAGCGGCACTACGGATAGCTATACGAGAAGGCGGAGTGCTTAATCTTATTGCTATTATCGTTAGTCGTAGTCCTTAGAAGGGTAATAGCGTGTTTATATAGCTTAGCTACTTCGAGAAAGCAATAGTCGCTAATAACTCGAGAGACACTAGTATAGAAGGCTCTAGTTAGTAACTTGTTGTACCTCTTTAGGTTGTCTACTATCGCGGTACGGCGGCGGTCGTAGCCTTCTTACTACTAATTAAGAAGCGACTCGAAGAGCGTAAAGATGTCGTATCTGCTACTATAGTTAAGCTAGAGCTTAATACGTCTATAGCAAGACTCGACTCGAGAGGTTGTCTTATAACTAAAATATAGGACTTGGTTAGTCTAGCAGTTAATAATCTAAGTCTTATAGAACTACTAGTTCTTATAAAAATAGGCCTTAAATATAGGATATACGTTATCTAACTTAATAACGTTATTATTAACTCTTCCTCGGTCTTACTATATATAGTATAAGTAAACAGCTTTATAAACTAAGTTATAGACAGACTATTAGTCTAAGAACCGTTAGATTTAATCTATATAAAGTCGCCTCGCTCCTTCCTTACTTAAGTAAATATATCTTAGTTTAGGTACTACTTATAGACGATATTCGAGGCCTCCGGAAACACCTCGTCGACTACTAGTATTAAGGCTTCTTTACGATTAGTCGCTATAACGAGAGGTACAGCATAGCCGCCCTATTTAAGGCCCTTCTATATAAATAGTAATAACTCGACGAAGTTAGCTTTATTAGGCTTCGGACGAATTAGACTAATACCGAGCTTAATTATATCGTTTATCGATCTAGCGGCGACTATATCTAGTAACTCGAGGTTATATAGATTAGTCGAATAAGTAGTATCGAGAATTAGCTAATAAGGCGTCGCTTTAAAGGCCTCGAGCGAGGTTAGATAAAGAGCTACTATTACCTTAATTAAACCCTCCTTGTCTATCTTAAATTTAATATTATAGAAGATAGAGTGCTAATCGAGTAGGTTAACTATCCGCTAAGCTTAGTTATTAGTACGCCGCTTATAAAGAGTCCTATTCTAGAAGACATTATATATATTGTAAGGTTTAAGTATTACTCCGCGCCCTCGAAAATAGGCTATTATCTTCGACGTTAGTATATAAGCCTATTATAAGCGCTCTAATTGCTCGAGGAAGTCGGCTATTCTTAAGCGCTACCGAATAGTAGTAAGTACGATAACGTCGTCCTTCTTATAGTTATGCTAGTAGTATTCTTTCTTGCTAGAATAGCGAATTTGCTACTTACTATCCGGCTTAAGAGGGCGGATAGTAATAGCGTAGAAATAGAACTTATAGTCTATCTTCTTCGTCTTCTTCTACGCCTTATTCGTAGTATTCTAGGTACGCTTATCTAGTTAACTATAGCAGCTGTATGTATATAGATAGTAGCTACATATATATAAATAGCAGTATTTAACGCTATTCTTATTCTTTTTTAGCTTCTACTCCTTAAACTCGTACCCCTCTAATATACTAAATTCCTAGATATAGCGCTCGAGGGCTCGTTTAGATAGAAACGTCGACTCTCGTAGTATTAGACCTCGTAGTAGCGAGGGCGCTTCTTCTAGTAGTTTCGTAGTAAACGCGTACTTCTAAGAGCGCGGCGATACTAATCGATATTTAAGTAGAGATATACGCTCTCGAGGCAGGTTAAGTAAGCGACTACGCCCTCGAATACGCGTTTCTAAGACTAATTCGACTTCTTCCTACGACCTAATATCTACTACTACCTCTTCTATCTTCGCTATACTACTAATATTGTCTTTAGTAAGGAAATCGTCGATATAGGCCTTATACGATAGAGATTAAGCTATTATATTAAGAAAGATAATAAACTTCTAATAGAAATCTAATAGAAACCTGTATTCTAATAGAAAATTAGAAATAATAGAAATACGATATTTAGTACGCGTGCCTAGGCGCGACTGTTAATAACACTAACTAAGAACAGCTATGTCTAAAAACAGGTGGAAACAGCACGTAATCGACGACAAGGCGATTCTATATTGGTGCTAGGTCTTAATCTGCTGGGGCTCGGGCAGCCAGCCGGGGCTCGGGGAAGTAACCAAGTGCACAGCATGGCACTATCCTTGCTTTCACAAGTCAGACTTTGCGCCAGGAACGATCGTGGTTGGATCGCTGCCCTGATAATGAAAATGAAGGCTGCCCACGTGAGCCTGAGCCGGCATTGGACAATGATTGTACTGGAAGCGTCAGGTTGTATAATAATGCGGGTGTGTTGCCCGGGCAAGCACTGTCTCGCTGGTACCCGTCCAGTTGCGTTTGAAGTCGGTGACACACGCCGCTATCCGCTGCAGCTGTCGCCTCAAATGCAAACCGATCTGCTTTGTGCCCGCGTGGAAAACAATGATGTGTACACCGCATGTGGCTGGACAGAGGTTGACCCGGTGAGTGGCTAGATAATCCTGCTTCTGCTTCGGCATCCGTCACACATGCGGCCGGCGCCGGCTTCATACATCTGGGTACGGAGCTCTTTGGGTGGTGTGAAGGTCGCAGGTGTCGAGATTGCGCGGAAGCGAAGGTATCCTTGCAAAATAACTGGAGCTCTCTGCTCTCTGCCACACCTCCAGCTGTTGATCAAAGCAAGCTCCTCCGGCCTCACCTACAGTCTACAGAACTCACTCAAAGCACCAACCGGCCACGCACCCGACGTGTTGGGAAGTCGCCGTCATCATCAGTGGCCGCGCGCGGGGACTGCTGCTGCCAGGAAGTCTATTATCCTATGCACTGACGCAAGCTTGAAGTCCGTATCGCACCCCAATCCCATCGCCTCGTTGCTGCATTGTGCATTGCCGATATCCTCCCGCCACACCTCAATTGACGACGACGACGCCGCCACGCCCACATAGCCTTACCACTCTCGCTGTCTCGCCAAGGCAGCCTTGCGCGCCTGTGAAATCACAATTGTAACGCGTCTGCAAGAGCTGTGGCTCGGTGAGGATCGCCGGCTCGCCGCAATGCCTTCGTTCCTCAAAGATATCAGCCTCCGCCGGAGATCGAAAGCGTCGATCAGGAATGGCGCCGGCGCCGGCGCCAGCGACAGCTCCAACTCGGAGAGCAACAGCGAGGTGGGCGAGAACGGGCATTTGCAGCAGCCCAGCAAGTCGTCGTCGACACTGAGTTCCTTCCTCGACCGCCGCCAGAGCCCGCCGACCACATTGTCCAGCCAGCGATCGCACTCGAACCTGTCAACCATCAATGGCGCAAACATCAATACTACCACCCACACTCCTCCGCCCATCCCTCCACGAGAGTCGCGCCCGCGCATGCCCACCTCGCAGAGCAATCGATACAGCATCACTGTATGTTGATGTACAACAATCATGCATGCATAGGGAAAGAGCTGACCATACGCTGCAGGGAATGCCATTGCAGAATGGTGAAAGGTCGACGCCCGCAACCTCGCCATTGGCTCCGCGCGTCCTGTCTGTGTCTGATGGATCTTGGGTATGCTGAGCTGAGCAATTGTGCATCCGTGTGCTCGTAAGATACAACACGCCCCCAATCGCTGACACACATGCAGGTGCACCAGAAGGTGCTGCTCATCTTTGGCCAGTGCGCCGACATAACACAACCCATCGACGGCCACCTTACCGTCTGCCACCACCAAGACAAATTCCCACCTACCACATGGCCAGTCTGCGACTCGCATTTCAAAGCACTCGTCCACCTAGAACCTGGGCCTAATCGCCTCCGCCTCGACTTCACCTCACCCAAACTTCCAGCCCAGAACTCATCGATACCCGCTCACTCATCCTGGATAAACATTAATTACCTGCCACTAATCTCTGCTCCACCCCTCCAACTGTGCATACTGCTTGCGAAGGACTCACCAGAAACCTATGATGCTGTACCGGAGAGGGTGCAGAAAGAAGGCAATGCTCTGCCAACTGCCATTAGAAAGTTCAGAATGGCCGCCTACCTCTGGCAGGCATTTACCGCAGAACAGATGAATCGCAATGGCTTTGGCAGGAGATGCTATAGATATGAAGAAGAATGGCAGCCTGGCACGCTGACTTGGCGGGACATGGAGTCTGGCAACATGCGCAATGAAGCCAAAGTCCACGTCATCCGCATGGACAAAACTGTGGAAGAAATCCAAGACCTGCATCTCGCTCAGCAGTATGAGCCTGCGAAGAAGAAGGGCGATCTCTTCGGTATTGCGATGGAAGCTGTGAAGGCATACTTCCGGCCGGGCGATGGGCAGCGGCAGTACGTTTCCTGCATGTTCTTGGACACACATTGGGACAAGAGGATCGGCACTGTAAGAGGTCATGCTGCGCTTGGCGGAGGTGACGACCAGCTGAAGCTCGCCATCTTCGGCTCTCACTGCTTGCAATCATATCCAGCGCACATCGAGGAGGTCGTGCCTGCCTTTTCCGACTGCACGAGGACCGACACTAATTTCGTCGCCAACGACTGCAACGAAGGAGGCAGCAATTGGGAGTCGGCCAACATCGGCATCGGAGCTCATATGCATGAGACCGGCCATCTGCTCGGCTGCCCCCACCAGGAGAATGGAGTTATGATGCGGGACTACACTCGCCTCAATCGCACCTTTACATGCCGCGAACCATATTCCACGAGAACAAAGCAGCAGGGACAACGACTGTGCTTACCGAAGGACGAATGCACTTGGCATAGATTGGACACTCTCCGCTTCCGCTTCCATCCAACCTTCCAGCTCCCTACCGACCAAGCAAGCCATCCTGATAACAGTGTACAAGTGTGGACCGTCGAGAACAACACTGCTCTCATCACCGCCGCCACCGGAGTTGCTTGGATTGAAATATACCCACACGGCGATGATGTCTGCCACCATTGGACAGAGTACCTGGAGCAGAGCGCGCCGAGGCAAATCAATTTGACGGAACAGCTGATCAAGGATCAGCTACCTGCTGAAAAGAAGAAGCGTAAGATCAAGCTCAAGATATTCAGCTGCGGAGGTGGTGAGCTTGAAATCCAAGATCTCTCCAGACTTTACACGTCGGACAGCAAAGTCAAACTGCCTGATGGCCGACCTGGTTTTAAGGGGACCAAGCTGGGCCACGGCGCAATGCAAGGCTCGCAGCCCCAGGAACTCATTCTCGGGCACTGCGAAAAGAAGCAGTGGGGCGCTGCAGGGGAGAAGAAATCACGGTTACTGCTCAGCGTGAAAGTCTACCATGGAGACTGCTTGGACGGCATCGAATTCTGCTATGAAGATGGGAAGAACGAACTTTTTGGCAAGCGCGGCGGTCGTTCCGGAGGCAGTGAATTTACTCTTGACACGAGAAGGGGAGAGATGTTACTTGGATTCTATGTGAGGGCCGGTTTCTGGATTGACGGCATTCAGATCATGACGAATACTGGGCGGCGAAGTGAAATTTACGGAAAAGCCAACGGCGGTTCCGGGTGAGTTGCGCTGCACTGCAGTGGCCCATGTCCGCGCGATTTTACTGACATCGCTCCAGACATATACTTGTGCCACCACGAGGGTACAGCATCGCAGGCGTTTATGGTAGTTGTGGGGCTTGGCTCGACGGCTTTGGACTTATAATCACGAGGTAACGACGGATCAACGGCACGATAACCTGCTTCATCGCTTTTTGCATATATTGTCGCGAAGCTTTACACTTTGCACTGCACTGCATGCTCGACGGACCTGCCGCTAGACAACGCGAGGACACGCTACGAGGTTGACATCCTTGGTCACTCACGAACATCGGCATTCCCGCATCAGTATTCCATAGCCCTAATCTGGACAACCACGGCCGGGATGGAGGGGACAGGATGGAAACAGCATAAAGGGCCGATTTGACTTTTTTCTTTGACTCAACTGGCATAGCTGCTTATGCTCATTGGCATAGAGGCTCTTGGCTGGCAGAAACTTTCCTGTAGCACAGAGTGCTTAGAGATACACAGTTTGAGAGGAGAACTAGATATACCCGTGGCACTACATGCGTGGAAGAGAGACATGTAGTTTGAATCGTAACGAAAGCTATGGTGGAGCTTGGCCAGTGACGATACATCCTCTCACTGTCGCAAAATTCGTTGACGAAAGCATTGATAGCATGTCAGGAACAGTCCGGATGCGTTCTTCATGCCTGTATGGCTGAGAGCGAAGAACCTTGGAAGGGCCAGCCAACAAAAAAAAAAGCCACATGTCTTGGACGTACCTTCCAGCTTTGACTTCCAACTCAAATCGGCCTCGACACCGACAACTTCACCTGAGCGACAAATCTTTTCGCTGCAGGAGCCCATTATCAAAGCCCCGAGACATTTGGAAGTTTCGGGCTTGGCGACTTCACCTTCGAGCTGAGACAAGTCGGCAGTTCTGTAGCTGACACATTGACCACGAAGATTGTGCTTCTGTATGCGGCATTCAATCTCAGCCTCACAGCTCCCATGGTTACCAACGAGAGACGATGTTTCCCTCTGAAACCGGCACAGAATTCTAGCCAGTGCGCACTGGGCAGGACATTCTTGCAGGAGGCATATCTGATCGTCGATTACGAGCGCAGGACCTTTTCTCAGTTTTCTGTATCACCAGCTCTCTTCCCATCTACTTCCGTGCAGCAGAATCTGGTCGCTATCATCAAGCCTGCGAGCGAAGTTTCTCGGACTGGCGAGCCGCGCTTGAGTAGTTCCGGCGCCATCGCTGGCACGGTTGTTGGCAGTGTCACCATAGAACTATTGTGCGATCGCGTTCATTGCCTGGATATGCGTGAATAGACGAGGCAGGCAGGATGTGGCAGTGGAGGCTGTGAGCAGGGAGAAGACTGCAGACTTGTCCACTCCTGTCGAAGAGGCCGACCGCTCGGACACAGTCGTCCACGAGGTCGATGGAAGCGGCTCGATCGGGCCAGAGCTCGACATGTACCGATCGAGTGCAGAAGACACAACAGCAGGGCATGGCATGGCATGATGAGGGCGTTGTGGCTGGCGCGGTGAATAGAACTATCCGGGAACGCCGAGAGGAAATCTCCCGACTCCCCAGCCTCGCAGGCAGTGTCATCACCACAACACAGATCAACGTATACCTGGTCCGCCGCAATGTATGATCCAGGCTTGCGAACCCAGATCCATTGTCTAGACGAGAAGTAGAATAGGATTCATGCACAAGGTTGGCGCGTGGGACTGTGGAGCACGTTTGCAAATGTGCTTTGGTCTGATATGATGAACCGCAGGGTCTAGATTGACAGTACGAAATTGACTACTCTACCCTCCATCACTACCAACTCCTCTATCTGGTGCGTTCGGCATTCCACCGTCTCGAACGAGCCGCCAAGCTTCTCCAAGAATGCTCCCACACAGCTTACTGCTTGTGAGGGCTGGTCGGTGGGATGAAGTTCGAGACCTTGAGACCAGAATCTAGTCCCCACGAGATGCTGTCAAATTCGATGTCGAGGCGGTCGGTTTGAATCTGCCCGTTCTTGCGAGACGTCGTAAAGAGGTTGAAGCCGCGTACAGGATACTGGGCTGAGCCGACGCCCTCGAAGTTCCAGAACCAGATAATCTTGTTGCAGTCCGTCACATAGATTGCGATTGTGTTGATGCCCTTCGTCTGAGGGGCATTGAGGACACCGCCCAACCACTCCTCCTTGTTAGCAGCGGCGATGCTGTTGCCGCTGGCCCTGGGCATAGTGGTTGATTCTTGAATTGCATATTTAAGTGAATATTCATATTCAGAATATTCATGATTGATTCTAGCATTCTTGAATATTCATGAATATAAATATTCAGGCGGTTATACTACGGCGCACTTATATCCCATGTAAGTATACAAATTCCAGCTCTTTCTTTATACAATATAACATCTTCAATAGGACGGAAACGCGCAGAAGTAATCGAGGTAGGTGAACAGCTAACTATAGTATTCCAGCATGTGCTAATAGTTTAGATATCGGACTCGGAGCCTAACTCGGAGCAAGAGTTATAGACAATCGACCAGTCTACGCAGGCGTTCTTAGCATTATAGAGCTATTATCTTAACCTCCTACTCAAGGATATAGTAGCTACTTATCCAACTCTTAGCGAGACCGACCATTGTATTACCCCTACTTAGCTCTATTTCCAACAAGCCGGCATCCTGTCATTCATTGACGAAGTAGCGTAGAATAACTTTAAGCAGTATATCGGAGAGGCGGAAAAGGAGGGTCTATAGCTGCCATTCCGCAGGGTTACGAGGAACATGCTGATTCTGATTATTCACTTGAATATTCTGAATTGAATATTCACTGATTTGATTTGAGGGTGTAGAATCGATTATTCAGGAATCAACCACTATGGCCCTGGGATCAAGCTGTGTCTTGGTTCAGTCATGAGCTAGCACAGCGGTCAAAGGTTACCCACTGGCAAGTCTTGCAAGCTGCGAATGGAGTTGGAATATTCCATGAAGTCATCCGCGAGGATCTTCTCGCCGGTCTGCCTGGCATTTGGATCGATTCGGCCGAATACACCAATGAACTTTTGGATGTACGCATTTGCTTCTGGCTGAGAGAGACATATGCTGGGCCAGTGTAGAGCATCAGCCGCTGGCGCCGCTATAGCAAGACCAAAGATGAGGGCGGATGCAACGATAGAGAACTTCATCTTGATGATGTGGATCCGAACGGGAGAGTTGTACTCGATATGTGCCGAGTAGATGACTTTGGGCCTAGGGAAAGCCGATCACTTGGAGCAGCTGACATTCTTTATTATATCACTCGCGATGAGCACAAACACCATCTGCGACTCGCTGCCATCGCGCTAAGCATATCCAATGCTATTTGCAGCTCATAGTCTTGACAATCGTTCGGAGCTCTGTTACGATCATGTCAAGACATCCCTGTTGGCACTGAAGTCTGTTTGTGGTTCAGAAAAAGGCTGCTAGTCACTCACTTCACAAGTGGTACGGACATGACCAGCAAAGCAATTGGGTGCAGTATAAAGGCGGCGCGCCTGAACAGCTCGTGAATCAAGATCCATGCTTTATGATTTTGACTTGACCCTCTTACTGCGGTCGTAGGGGCGCGACTATTCGTAAATCAGCCCCGGCTATTTATAAATCAACGGACCCAGGGCCGCTACGGTCTCGGTAAGACTATATTGTTAGTAATCTACATAGTACAACATCGAATAGAGACGTCTAATGCCTATACTAGCTACTAAGTAGAATTATAACGTAGGAAAGAGGAATTAAGTAAATAATAGGTATAGAACTAGATACTATAACTACTCCTATCTATTCTAGTATTAGCTAGTAACCGGCCCTATACCTATAGGCTAGGTACTAAGTCTATAAAAGAGGCCTCCTTCTATAGAGTAGATAGAGTATTAACCTCGTATAGTATACTATTTATATTACACTTCTATAGTACCTATATTATAAGGCTCTAGTTACTAGCCTAAGCGACAAGTTAGTTAGCCTATCTTACTAAACATAGCTACCTATATTGCTATAGGTTATATTGCCCTTAGTAGTAGTAGTAGTAGTAGTAGTAGTAGTAGTAGTAGTAGTAGTAGTAGTAGTAGTAGTAGTAGTAGTAGTAGTAGTAGTAGTAGTAGTAGTAGTAGTAGTAGTAGTAGTAGTAGTAGTAGTAGTAGTAGTAGTAGTAGTAGTAGTAGTAGTAGTAGTAGTAGTAGTAGTAGTAGTAGTAGTAGTAGTAGTAGTAGTAGTAGTAGTAGTAGTAGTAGTAGTAGTAGTAGGGGTAGTAGTAGGGGTATATAAAGAAAAAAGAAGAAGAAGAAGGAAAAGAAGAAAATATTAATACTCCTAGAAAGCGATATAGAAGTAAAGGTTACAAAAGCGAAGGAAGGCGCGAATATAAGTAAAGCGTTTAAAAAAGCAGTTACGGCGCGTTTTAGAAGGCGGTTAGTAGATAAAAGAGCGCAGTTTAGAAGTCGCGAAGAAAGTAATAGTCTCTAAAACCTAGGATATAGTAACCCCGACTAGAAAGTAGCGGAAACCCTAGGCGCGCGGAAGGAAACTACGAGCGCGTTACTTTAGAAAGCTTAGATAAGTGCAGATCTAATATCTAAAGTAATAGCGCTAGAAACTACAAGGGGCGTTCTATACCCGCGAAGGAAAGAGAGGAGGACGGGAGTAATATAAAGGGCTACGCCCTAGGTAGAAAGTACTAGCCTTAGGCATTCGGCCTACGCGATTCTAACCTACTACTTAGCGCTTAGCGTACCGTATAAAACTATTCGGATTTACGTAGATAGACTTAGCTCCTTATCGAACCTATTAAGTCTTATATCTAGTATCTACGTACGCGTTACTTACCTATAACAGCTATACTAGTAAACAGATACCGTTTAAATAGCGATAGCGCGACTAGAAGCGCTTTATTAAGCGACCTAACTATATTAGCGGACCCTAACGTACCGAAGTCGCGCGCCTTACGATAGAAGACTACCTTAGCCTCGAATTACTACTAAAGACGCCGCCTCTATAACTATCGTAAGTACCTCGACCTACTAGGATACTACTAAGTTAATAATACGTTAATCTTAGCTAAATTACTAGTCTATCGACTAAGAAGTCCTAGAAAGGTAGAAATAGGGCGACGGTTAAAGAGGAGGGGTTATATAGTAAGGTTCGCGAAGGAAGAGGCGCGGAAGAGACCTCGCTATTTCTACGCTATCTCTTTAGCTTTATTTTTAGTGATAGTAAGGTCTAATACTACCCCTACCCTACGCGACGCGACGATATTACGCAGATTACGGTTTTAGTAGGGATTAATAATAGAGACGGACGCTTAGTATACGCCGACCTCTAATTAGGTATCTATACTACTAGCTACTATAGTCGTATCCCTTACTATAGCGAGCGGCCCGGACCCGATATCTAAGATAGGACCGCGTATTCCTTTCTAAAAGACTACTCTAGTCTAACGGCGCTATAGTAGTAGCGTCGGAGGCAATCTAGCCTATTAATATAGCGGGTATACTATTATAGGAATACTAGGGCAGACCGATAATAACTAGGAGAGAGTAAAATCCGGATGTTTTAGCCCCCTATTTATAGTTATATAACGTCCGATCTAGCTTGTGCCCTATATCTAGACTAGCCCGAAGAGTAGTATTTTATAGATAGACATTCCGCTTAACTTAGACAATTCCGCTATAATAGGTATACTACTATAGCTACTAAGAACTAACCGGACATAGAGGCTCTATAGATATACTAATACTATCGTCGTCCGGTATGCTACTATAGTATTATTAGACTATACTCGATATAGCAACTTCCTCTAAGAATTAATAGTATCCCTATAATAGCTTTTAGCTAAACTTTTTAATAACTATTCTTATATATTCTAGCTAGACGAAATCTCGCGAGATAAAGCGTAATATAATACTACTAGAAGCTCGCTATATTACGGTTTAGACAGTAGTGCGGCCGATCCTGCTTCGGATACTATCGATCCTACCGTAGATTAGGACGATTAATATATATAGTTTCCTAGGCTAGTAACTAACTAACAATTAATTATCTTTATATACTAGAATCGTATCCGTCTCCGCTCTATAGAGCGTATCCTAACAACCTAGTAGCTTCGCTAAGATTACGACCTAATTAGCTTCTATACTAATTAACTCCTCTACTAGAACCGAGCTATTAGTCCCGATTACAACGAGAACCGAGACGATTAGCTAAGGATCCTCCCGATCTAGCGCCGACCGCGACGATTCGACTCGCTACGTTACGACCGATATTTACTCGATTTGCACTATTCCGTACTAGTCGGCGGCTACCTACTATAGTGCCTCGCCGATACTAATATACTATATATCCCGAATCGCCTAACCGCGAATTCGGTAGGTAGCTACGCTTTAGCGGCTAGTAGCTATTTCCCCGCATCCCTAGGAAGGTACCTTTCGAGGAACAACGGAAGGATTAGCCCTAACTAGTTAACAAACCACCTTTGCTACTAATCCGGCTAGCCTCTATAACGATACTCTACTATATAACGCTTTACGTTAATCCTACGCTTCGTTTCGCTTCTAACCCGGATAGAAGTATAAATCTGTTAAACTAGCGGTCCGACCGCTACTATAGTACCGTAATCTTAGATTACTAGATACTAAGTCTTATATCCTGCGCATTTGTACCTTTATTAGTTACTACGTCCGGTATAGCGAGAATTTTATAGTCTAACTTAGAGCAAAGTACGGCCGTATAGACCTGCTTGCCTCGTACGTCCTATAATACTACTCGCGACTAGGAAATCCGCTACTATCTTAGGCTAAGATCGACGAGCTATACCTATATACCCTCGACGGAATCGACTTCCCTAGCTAGTAGGTAGTCGATAAAGGCACCTTAATACGATCGGTTAAGGAACTAAAAGCAGCTTTTCCGAATACTCGCGATTCGTACTATTATAAGTAGTTTTACCCTAAGGTATACTCGCTCGCGGACATCGAACGAGTACGAGTAGGAGAGCAACGCCCGTAGCCTAATTCGGCTACTTATCGCTCGCCTTCTTCGCGGGTACCGGAGTTTTCGCCGATTACTTAGTAGGCGGCGTTGTTGCTACTACCCTCTCTAAGTAGGTATCGACCGCCTAGAGCGACTACCTATTTAGAATAACTACGCGCGCGACGTCCTAATAATTATATAGATAGTACGCTACCCTCTGTATTTATATATAGACTGTTACTAATAAAGATCTCTAGCGATAAATCCTCGTCGTTAGAATCCTCGCCGTATCCTCTACTAGATAATAGACGAGGCCTAATAGACTATAATTACAAGGACGCGCCGCGAGGCCGTAGGCCGACGAAGGGAAATCTAGGCAATAGCGAGCCTCGTAGCCGGCACTAGTATCTGCTATCTATAGGGTCTACGATAGAGCTAGATCGTAGCGAGGTCCGAGATTAGCTAGACTAGTAGCGCCTATATACCTTATAGGAGTCGGTATTACGTCGAGGTATTATCTTAGATAATCGCCTCGCCTAATTTCTTATAGAATAATGCCTTTCTCCTTAACCTAATTAGACCGGTTCCTAGGCGGGCGCTAAAGACTACGATAATAGTCGCGACGATCGTTCGCGTATTATAGGTAGCGATCGCTCCTACGCTAGCTAGGACGATCTAGAGTAGGAGGACCGCGACGGCTACTATAGCTACGAGTTCCGAGAGCAAGTCGAGGACTATCTTAGCCGGCGTTAGAGGTCGCGACTTAAAAGAGCGGGTTTGGTTTCTAAGAGTAGCCGCCGCGACTCGCTATAGGATTAGAACAACTCGCCCGACGGCTAACCGGCTAGCGGCGGCCCGCGGTTAGGTCTAGACGGTAATTAAGGCTATAATTACGCTGCCTATAGCGGAGGGAATACTAGCGGAGATCCTCGCTACTACTAGCAACCGGGACGCAATAGGAATACTAGCTAGATAGGCAAATTTACTCCTAATAATCTACGCAATTACTAGCAAACGTACGCCTACGGCTAGGCTACTTATAAGCCTAAACGCAACGGAAATGCTAGCTAGGCGGGCTAATTTACTCCCGATCTACGCTATTACTAGCAACCGTATACCTAGGGCTAGGCTACTCGGGAGCCTAAACGCAATAGGAACGCTAGCTAGACGGGCTAATTCGCTCCCGATCTGCTATATTACTAGCAAACGTACGCCTAGGGCTAGGCTGCTCCTAGCTAGATACGCTAATTCGCTCCCGATAACCCTCGCTACTATTAATAAGCGCCGCCCTAGGGCTACGCTACCTACTCTAGAGGGAATATAGGCTAGTCGCGCTAATTTCGTCTAGATAATCCTCGCTATTACTAATAAGCTTACTAGCAAGCTTATACCCTAGGCCCTTATACGTAGAATAGTAGCTCGTACGACGCTAACCGATATAATAGCTATATAGAGCATAGCGAGCTAAATTCCGGTTATTAGCGTAAGAAC